CCCCCCTCGTTTGGCTTGGTCCAGCTTCTTCACTCTTTCTCTGAGGGGGGTAAACCCATTACATTGGGGGGCTCTTTTTTGGTACCAAATCTAAAAATGACGAAAACGTCACTAAATGGGTCAATAAATAAAAACTAACGAACCTGTTATGATAGTATAGGCCTACTTCATCTATTGAATGACCATCTGGTAAAAGAGACCTGTTTTCAACAATTGCCGAAAGGTAATTTGATGTCGAAGTCGTCGTAAAGGAATGTGGGCTCGCCGGCACAGCAGTTCTGACTGCGAGCCGCTGGGAGCGTCTTGCTGGAGATAGGAGTTAAATTCCTTATGTTGAATGGAGGGTTAAACCAATTCTTTTTTACTAAGCTTATAGTGCCATGGTTTGGATTTCGTCATTGCGTCTTTGATCCACTTTTGTTAGAGAAAAGAATTTCTATGTTAAGTCTGGGTCCAGGTTTTCCAAGGTATTCGATTAAGATTTTATTCAAATTGGAATGCAATGATTAAAACTGCACATCATCTTGAATGATTGCACATTGTCTTAAGTGCCAAAACCATTAATTAGGGAAAATTGTGACTGAATCATTTTCCAGCCTGAGTATGGAAGCTGTATAAATTGAAATACAAATCAACGATGACACCAGGTAAAAGTAGGATTATGCATCCCAAAAGCTGGACAATGTGACTTAATTTTTTTAAAACTTTGAGAAAAAAAAACTCGCTCATTCCTTTGGACTTGGTTATATATATATGTCCCTCTCATAGGCTTGTAATGTGCAGTTTTTCTTGATGATGCAGACAGACAAAATGTTAACAAATGCTTTTACACTGACACATGAGCTATTTGTAAAGCAAATCCATGCGTAAGCTAATTTTTGTCAGTCTGCAGAGTATGGACGTTCATATTTTCACTCTTTGTAATGATTAGTAATGTCTTTATATTTTACCTATTTTTCTATCACTTGCAGTCACAAAGCCCTCAAACTGTTGATCAGGCAATTTCAGTAAAGACGGATTATGAGGACAACCAACAGGAACACATCCCGAGCAATTTCGAAATTTTTCGACGCATAAACGCTCTCCTGGACAACTCTTTGGAAGCAAACAACGTGAGCTGTTCCCAGTCTCAATCACAGCAACAGCAGCAGCAGACTCAACAGCAGCAGCAGCAACAGCAGCAACAGCAGCAGCAGCAACATTTACAGCAAGTTCAGCAACAGCAGCTATTGAAACAGCAGCAGCAACAGGCTCAGCAGCAGCAAATTCAGCAGCAACTTCTGCAGCAGCAGCAGCAAAAGCAGCAGTTACAACAGCAACAGCAGCAAGAGCAGTTACAGCAGCAACAGCTGCAGCTGCAGCAACAGTTACAGCAACAGTTGCAGCATATTCAGAAAGGTGGATATTATGGTGTTCTTGTATTTTGTTATTGAGGCAGTTTTTTGACTGTTTTGTATATCTAAGAATTTTTCAGGGAACACCACTTTTTCCTTTTTTAATTAGTTTTCTTTTCCCTTGTAACGCCAATTTCTCTTTCTGTCGGTGGTTAGTCGGTGCTCTGGTGTGTTTTGCTCCATCCTTCCTGTCAAGCATCTGTCACTGTTGTCTCTCCTTTTTTCTGTCTATTTCTCTCAACAAGTACCTCTTATCTTCAGCACTTATTAATATTATTATATAAATATATGTTGTATCTTGTTTTGCAAGTGCTGTAAAACCTAAAAAACCTCTATACTGAAACTAAAACTAAACCTCTTTCGTCTTCCAAATACCTTTTGTATAAGTCTGTATTGGCCATGTGCTCTTGCGGGTTGTTGGAGGGTGCCTCTGGTTGGTCCTACTTTTCTTTCCCTCTGTTCTTTCTGTGTATGTCTTGTTTCTTTTTGTTTCTTGTTTCTATTGCGCCCCGATGTGACAGTTTTTGTTTATTGTGTCGATGTGCTTCACTTTATTCTAAACTCTATGTGTAAAGGAATGTAAATTAGAAGTTGGTGGTTGATGTGCTTTGTCTGTTGTCTTCTTCATCTTGAGGTTGCATAATTCTCCTTTTCTTGTAATGGTTAAGCACTTTGCTGTCACACGTAGGAGACCTGAGTTTGATTCCTGAATGGGGACAACATTTTTTTTAAGTTGTCCCGTCTTTCTGTTGGGATGTTGTATCCCTCTCAGCCAGTGTCAGCCTTGACGAGCAGGGTCGGAAGCCAGCTTCCTAAATGATCTAAATCACTTTGATAGGAGCATTGAACTTTTACTTTACCTCATGTTAGGTCCTACTTTATCCCCCTGACTGAAGTGTCTTTAGGCCATTCCCAAATGGGGGACATTTCTCATTCATGCACAGTAGAGAATTGTAAATGGGCTGATTCATCAATGTCATGCTCATAACTGTGCCTGATCAACAACAGGGAACTGCTGCTTTTTCTTTCCTAATCCTTTCTATTGTCATTTTTCCTCTACTTCTTTTGTATGTTTGTCACACTCTTGTGACTCACTATTTCAGGGGTACCTTGATGATAGTCAAAGCAGACTTTGTGCTGTTGAAGCTAGAGAGGGGAGCAGAGTAAGTCTGATTCCCTGTAAGGACTTCTTTGTTGACATCCACCCCTTGGCGCTCATATGACCTTGTGCAGTTACGAGTGCCGTAAAACCTCTACTAAAACAAACAAGACAGGTCCTACTTTTTCTGTTTTTTACATCTGTTTGGTTTATGTCTTGTCTTTCTTGCCTTCTCTTAGCACTAAATATTCATTATATTGTGTTGATGAAATGTCATTTTATTGACCCAAATGTGAAATGAGGTTCTCGTCAAAGTAATGAAATTGTAGAAAGCGACTGCTCTCCGCCTTATGTACTTAATGGTATACGGAGAGAGTAAGACTTCTTTATCTGCATAGGGGGCAAACTTTATATTTTTGCAGCTCTACTTTTATGTCCATTTAAAACTTGCTTTTTCTCAGCACTAAATGGCCATTGTGCCTCTCTACTTAATACTCAAACAAGTAATATATGACATAGTTGTGTTACAAGTGCTGTAAAAATTCTTACTAAAACTAAATTTTAAAAAAATTGTCCCCAGAACCCAGCAGCCACACCTACACGCCTGGTCCATCCCCGGAACTTCAGTCCGTGCTCAACTACGCCAATGTGCCGCTGTCCAAGTCTGCCGCCTTCAACTGCAACAACAGCAGCAGCTACAGCGTGGGTCCGACCCCGGTGCAGTCTCCGGTCACCCCGAGCCCGGCTGCGAGTGCTGTGACAGTTAACAGCCCAAGCTATGGTGTGTAGGTCATTGATTTGATTAAGTAAGCGTTTTATGGCACTTGCAACACTATCAGGTGTGGATGGTTGGTGGGTGCTCTGGTGTGGTTTGCTTCTTCTTTCCTATCAAACATCCTTCATCCTTATCTCTCCTCCTTTTTTTTGTGTTTGTTACTTTCTTGTAACACCTAATGTTCAGCTCTTATATGACTTCATTGTGTTGCAAGTACCGTCAAACACTTACTAAAACTAAAACTCTACCAGGTTGTATAAACAGGTTGTATAAACGCCGAAGCTTAGAGATGTTACAAGATAGCAGCAAACGCAAGAAAGGAAGAGAAAAAAAGCAAGACTTTACTTTTCCAATCAAGCGGCCATCTGAGTTCTAGCCCTTTGGCCTGGAAAAAAAAAAACCTCGAAAAAATACACAGCATAGGTAGTTTTTTCTCACTCCTGTAAAATTTTGCTTTTTGGGCTTAGTACATTTTTAAGAGCTTGCCGACTATACTTCGTCATTTCTATAATTTCTAGTACGATCAAGGGAGGCTACAATATTTTCTTTTGCTGTATGGCTTTTAAAAATATTATCTCGTAATTTTTATCTCACTGCTGTCATTTTGGTAAGTAATTATGGATAAAGACTGTCAGCATAGACTCTTAAACTGGGCGCTTGACAAATTTTTTGCATATTGACTTTCTGGTGTCATCTAAAAGTTTGTTCAATTTTCTTTGCTTTTGACCAAAAAATACCGATCTGTGTATCCCAAACAGAAGTCGAGATATTTGCTATTTAAATTGGAGGAGGTTGTCTAGTTCTAGAGGTAAAATTAATTTTTAAAAAGGCTACCGAAGTTTGGGGACTTTCAAAGTTTGAGTCTCGTAGGAAATTGCAAATTTACTTTTTTAAATGTCTGATCATGTTTCACTAAAATCCCCTCCGAGGTTTTTCTAGAAACTTTACCCACTGAGTTCTCTTTTCAAGTGACAGAGACTGTTGATTGTGCCTTAACACTTTGACATCATATTATGGAGAAAGTCCAAAGAAACTGGGTGCTACACCTCACCAATATCGGTGAGATGAAGCCGGAAAGGGTTAATACAGACTCAATCAAATCAATCAATCAACTGTTGTTTTTTTTGTCTTTTCAGGAAATTTTCAGTTGTTCGGTGAGAATGCTTTCGACAGTACGACTCCGTTTCAGAGTGACGGGACCAGCCAGAGCCACAGTCGAAGTTTGGCCAACGACAGGTCGGTTCAGTTTCTATGAAATCTTGTTTTATTGATTTGTATTGTTTTGTTTGTTTTAGTATAGGTTTTATGGCGTTCGCAACTGCATAAGGTCATATGAGCGCCAGAAGATTAGACGTGTTACAAGAGGGTAACAAGCATAAAAAAGGAGGGGAGATAAGGACGATAGATGTTAGATAGGAAAGAAAAAGCAAACCTCACCAGAGGTATTGTTTGCTAGGTGCGGTGGTGGAGCGGTTTGTGCTCTCATCTTCGAAACGGAAATTCAGGTTCAAACCTCTGTTCGGACACAGATTTTTTTCGCCCCCTCCTGCCCACCCAGCAGTAATGGGTACCTGACTTTGAGTTGGGAAAGTAATGGTGGCGTGGAAAGGAACTGGCCACCCTACCACAATATGCCGAAGGCCCAGAAAGTTCTCTCACTAATAAGGCAATCCCCAATGTCCGGATCGGACGTGGTAACAACTTTACTTTATTGTTTGCTGATTTAGATGGGTGCCTTGGTCCTGGTCTTGTTTGCTGTCATGTAATAAAGTAATTGTACTCCAGTTTTAGTTAGGTTTAACGGTGCTCGCAACTGTTTAAGGGCATACGAATGCCGGATGTCAACAGAAGTCCAAATGAAGAATCAGGCTTACTCTGCTCACCTCTCAAGCCTCAACAGTACAAAGTCTGCTTCGGCTATCAAGGCATCCTGAAAAAAGCTGTTCACAAGAGAGGGACAAATATACTAAAGAAGTAGAGGAAAAATGACGATAGTAAGTATGAGGAAAGAAAAAGCAGTTCCCCCTTTGTTTTTTTGGCCCAGTATGAGCATGACATTGATAAATCAGCCCATTCACAATTCTACTGTGCATACGAATATGTTAATATCCCTCCTTTGGGAATGGCTTAAAGACAACTTCAGTCTGTAGCACTGCCTTGATTGGGGATTTGTTCTTTATTATTTTTGAGAACACCTGCTGAAAGACACCATGTTACAACTGAGTCACCCCTATTTCATGCTAAATAGAGCAGACCAGGTCACAATCTTTCGACTCCGTTGTTGCCACAACAGACTCAAACACCATAATATGCACACTAAATTAAAAGTGGAAGTCTGCAATCTGTGAATATGGACACGATCAAGAGGATGCCAACCATATCCTTCAGCATGCACCGCGCTACGCCACCCTTCGTACACAGACGTTGCAGAATGTGACTCCTCTTGAGAGAAAGCACTATATAGCAGTCTCTCAGATTTGAAGCGGACTTCACAGTTTGTGCTCGACATCGGACTGTCTAGCAGCTGTCATCGAGGACAAGGAAGAAGAAGAAACAACAGTCCATAATGCAGTACTACACCTACTCAAACAAACAAACAACACCATGTCACAGTGATTCCATTTTTCTTGGTCCCCCCTCCCGTGGTCCCCCCTCCCGTGGTCCCCCCTCCCGTTATTTTCACTGAATTCTGAAAAGAAGACTTATTATTGTTCTCAACATTTGTTTCTTGTTTAACCCCGTAGTAATGTTTGTAGGTGGTTGGTGGGTGTTCTGGTATGGTTTAATCGCTCCTTTCTTATCAAACTTCTATCGTCCTTATATCTCCTCCTTTTTTATGTTTGTTGTAACTCTTTTGTAACACTTCTAGTCTTTGGCACTTATTTGGCCTAACTGTGTTGCTGGTGCCATAAAGCTCTCACTGAAAAAAAAATGTCTTCATTTGTTTCTTGTTCAACCTCACGTTCGTGTCTGTGATGTAAAAATCAAAACAATGAAATCAAAGACACTGACATTATTCTGGATCTTGGGCTATTTTTTTACACCTCCTTTTATGTCCTTAAAAAAACCACATGCCTTTGTGGATGTTACACAAAAATGTTGACTAAGGGCACAGCAAATTCAAATGTAAATTTCCAGTTTCCTTGGATACTCAAGCTTTGGAAGTCACCAAACTTTTGCAACCATTTTCTTGCTAATTTGACCTCTCATACCAGGTGATTCCCAGGTGATTGCCACCTCCTTTAATTGCAAATAACTTGACTTCTATTCAATATAGATGTGTATTTTTTTTTTGCCAAATGCAAAACAAATGAAAAGCTTTAAGATGATCTTAATAACTCTATACACCCAAAAATTGACGAGCGTCTGATTCCTCCAAGTCGTAACACGCACGTCACGCACAAACATTTACTCGAAGGAGAGGAAGCTCCTTTTTGCGTGCGCTGCAACACGTATTTTACAGTTCGTCACATCCTGACAGAATGTGTCGACTTCAACCATATACGTGTAAAATACTTATCGATAGTTAGAAAAAAATCTGAAATTTTATTAAAGAAATAGGATTGTTTGATAGGGTATAGAAATGTATCGTTGTCGCTGTCAGTGTACATACATACACTAAAATTAATATTGTAAATACCAATGTAAATAAGTCTTTATACTATATTTACAAAGATTTTCATAAATATCCGTCCTTTTAACATGATGATGATATGACTATGCAGCTGCGAGCGCCATAAAACTCTTACTAAAACATTACATGATTATGGATTTGTTGCAGTCTAGTAAAACCTGTTGGCACTTACATGGACCAAAATTGAGTCGATAGTGCCATAATACACCTACTCAATCAATCAAAAACCAAATCGTAACACATTTGGTTTTATTTCTTTTCACAGTGACCCAATGGTTGTGATGAGCCCAGGGCGAGATAGTATTATTCCTCTCTCTCCCACCGAGAAGATCCTGTATCAGAATTTCTTGCTGTCGAAGCAGGCGCAAGGGTATGTTCTTTTCTTTCTGCTTTTGCTCTGTACCTTTATTTGGATGTCTCTTAAATGGGTGGTTGGAGGGTTGCCGCTGGCAGGCCTTAATTAGTGCTGCCCCCACCCCGTTTGGCTGTCTTGTCTTAGTCGATGAACGGCAGGTACTCTAGTGTGGTTGCCTCCTCCTTTCCTATCAAACATCTATCGTTCTGATTTGTCCTCCTCCTTTCCTATCAAACATCTATTGTTCTGATTTGTCCTCCTCCTTTCCTATCAAACGTCTATCGTTCTGATATGTCCTCCTCCTTTCCTATCAAACGTCTATCGTTCTGATATGTCCTCCTCCTTTCCTATCAAATGTCTATCATTCTGATATGTCCTCCTCCTTTCCTATCAAACATCTATCGTTCTGATTTGTCCTCCATCTTTTAAACTATTTGTATTTGTAGCTCTCCTGCATCATCTCTAATCATTGGCACCATTATGACCTTTTTGTGTTGCAAGTGCCGTAAAACGTAAAATCTTTACTAAAGTAAAAAATAGAAAAAAATGATTTTTCGAATTAGTCCATCGAAATTTCATACTCAGAATTCTATCGGTAGTGTTTTAAAACGGACTTACAACATTTTCAATATTTTCTTTCCAGAGAGAACACAGCACTGCCCCCGAGCCCTCCCCACGAAATAATGCCCTTGTCGCCCCTTGAAAAGAAGCTGTACTCGAACCTGCTCTCCAAGCACACTCAGGGCATGCGCGCTATCAACTCGACCAGCCCGCTGCAGACGCCACTCACGCCACCGAGATCCCCTCAGGAAGTGCTGTACGCCTCTATGCCAGCTGCTCAAGTGGGCGAGAGCTCTTCTGTCATTGATATGATGGTCAGTCTGTGTGTCAAATGAGTCGACTAGTCTAAATTGTGTTAATGGGGAGGGACTTTGTTTGAACGCGTTTCTTTTCCTCCGAAACTGAATTTTGTGTCATAAGTGCCGTGTTTAAAACGTATGTGTCACGATGTGGTGGAATCAGGTGCTCGTCAATTTTTGGGCCTACGGGGTTATTGGTAGCATCTTAACTGATTCTGTCCATTCGGCCGCTGACAGCGGCTCTGAGTTTTTCCGCTACGTCCATTCAACCGCTGTGAGCGGCTCAACGAAATCCGAAACAAATGTGCACTTTTTAACATAGTTCCGACTTTTTAAGTTGTCGAAATGAAGTAGAACTTGTAAACAAACCTGACCTCAATCTCTGAGCACCAATATCGATCGAAACTCCGCGAAATTCTTGCAAAAATCGTTGTTTTGTTGTTGCGATGTAGGCTAGATCTAAGGGTAAACAACATGGGGCATGGTATAATAAAAAGGCCCTTAGAAGAAAGATATTCAACTAAATTTGTGAAATTCTTGCATAAATGTGTGCTAGGGTGATATCGCTACAATGTTGTGCTGATTCCTATGGATTATAAGGACTTGTAGAGCTGAGAAAATGCGGTTAGTCGAAATTTTCGAAGAGCTGTTGCGCAATTTTTTTTTCTCATTCTTTTTTGTCTGAAGGAAAATGCAGTACAAACAGATTATAGGTCATTGTTATTGATATAAACACATTCCTCTATTTATTCCCATCAGTTTAGTATATGACAATACCTATTACAGTGATTAGCGCTTCACAGTAATGCATTAGATGCACCCCAGGTCTAAAACTGAATAGGGAAAAATAATTCTGTCCAGATTCTGAAAAAATCATGGACGGAATCAGTTAAAGCCTGTTCATTTGCCTTTCTGTCGGGGAAACGATATCCATCTATGTTGAATAGAAGTCAAAATATTTTAGATTGAAGTAGGTCAGGGTCGCCTGGTTTCTAAAGTAAAATTAGCGAGAAAATGGCCGCCAAAGCTTGGTAACTTCGATAGCCTGACAGCCCATGGAAACTGAAAATTTACATTTTTTGTGCCTTTAATCGTTTTTCAGAAAAATTCTCACAAATGTTTTTAAATGGGCGTAAAAGGTGTAGAGACAAAAAAAGAAAATCAGAACAAAATTGCCCATCGGCCCAAAAAATGCCAATTTCTTTGAATTCGTTATTTTGACGAGCACCTGATTTCACCACGATGCCTCACATATTACTATTATATACTATTGATCATGCTCTAATGACCACATCGCTACCTAAGCATTATGCAGTCCTGTGTGCACGTTGCACTTGTTAAAGATCCCTTGGTTGTCCAAAATTGATAAGAGTAGGCTTTGGCTGCCACCCTAGCAAAATTCAAAATTTCCTAACTGAAAATGTTTCGTGCCTCCGGCAAGCTCATATGACCTTATGCAGTTGCGAGCACTGTAAAATGTTTACCAAAAAAAATATTTTAAAAAGCTTATTAAAATAAATATAATAAATTATTATAAATCCTCCATGAACAAGTGCTCTAAAGTTCCACTCTAAAACTCATACTAAGACAAATTTAACATACCCTCTATCAACTAGCGCTGTGAAACTCTTTAATAAAACCAAACTGAGGGTACTCCAAGGCAATTGTATTTCCAAATGAAAATATTTATTTTTGTGTTTCAGAGTCGAATGGACTTGAGTGGTCGTAACCAGCAGGCGGACTACTCTGGTACCCTGGCTTTCCTCGACGCTCACAATGTGCTCCGCAGGTCTGTGTTACATTGAGCACTTTGTCATGAAAGTAACTGTATGTGTACCTGGAACTCCTTTTTATGAAAGTAACTGTGTTTGTTCCTGGAGTACTTTGTCATGAAAGTAACTGTGTATGTACCTGGAGCACTTTGTCATGAAAGATGAAGAAATTGTTAAACATATATTTTTTGATGGAACTCAATTTTTGACCCGGTACAACTTTTTTGGCCTTTTCACCCCTTTGCTTTTCCAGGCACATACACAATATTATTGTGAAGCGTGCTGACTAGGTTACTTCTCAGATTCAAGCCCAATGAAAATAAGTGCATCACGCTTATAGATGAAGTTTTTACAATTTATAAGTATGAAATAATAAAAGGCCTGTTATACTTAAAGAATGTGGCATCAATAGAAAATCTGCAAATTTGACCTGGAGTGTCGATTTTTGGCCAATATCATTTGTGGATTGCGAGAAGTAACTCATTTTGTCTGCACGCCTCACAATTCTTTACGCCATCTGAGTGCGACCTGATGTGTCCTCAGTAGTGAGAAGTTCATGTCTCTATTTTATTGCAACATTAGCAGCAACATTAATACTTACACTATTTTCGGCTGTTGGGAAGAGAAAAAGATAGCTTTATGAATTATAAGAAATAAATGCCAGGATGAGAGGTATCACAAGAGTGTTTTCTTCTTACTTGTAAAGCAAGTTGGTGGTTGGTGGTCGCTCTGGTGGGGTTTGCTTCTTCCCTATCTAACACCTGTTGTCCTTATGTATCCACTTTTTTTTTCTGTATGTTACTTATATGACCTATTTGTGTTGCAAGTGATATATTGAAATTTATTTGTAGGGTGATTGGGGTTTTCTTGTTTTTTTGGGGTTTTTTGTTTTCAATTTTTAAAATAAGGATGGGCATTTTGTTCACTTTACGACAGTGGGTGGTTGGTGGGTGCTCTTGTGTGGGTTGCTCCTTCTTTCCTGTCAAACATGTATCGGTGGGTGGTTGGTGGGTGCTCTGGTGTGGTTTGCTTCTCCTTTCCTATCAAACATCTATTGTCCTTATCTCTCCTCCTTTTTTGTGTTTGTTACTGTCTTGTAAATCCTAATCTTCGACACTTTTATGACCTTATCGTGTTGCAAGTGCTGTAAAACTCTTACTAAAACAAACGATTGTTGTTCTTATCTCTCCTAGTTTTTTTGGGTTTTTTTTGTATTTCTCTCTTGTAACACCTAATTCTTGACACCAATATGCCCTCATTGTGTTGCATGTGCTGTAATACTCTTACTAAAACAAATAAAAATGTACCCTCAATCACCAACTTTTAAAAATTTTGTCTTTGTTTTATTTCCAGAAGAACCCCTAGTTCCTCGCGTTCTCGGTCTGTGATGGAGCGCTCTGCCCCTTCCTCGTATTTTGCAAACCTTGACCCTTACGCCATCGACAGGGCAGCTCGTTTGCACAGAAACGCCGCAGGTGAGAAATAGACGGGGATGGCTGGAGGGTGGCACTGATAGGTCTTCTCACTTCATTTCTCTCCCACCATTTCCATTGTCTGTCTGTCTGTCTGTCTGTCTGTCTTGCCTTTACTTTTCCCTGCGCTAAAAATCATAAATGGTATTGTGTTGATGTGCTTCTCTTTCCTCTAACAGACATACAAGATAAGTTATCATTTATATCTGAAGATGTGGGTGGTTGGCGGTTGCTGTGGTGGCGTTTGCTCTTTTTTTTTTCCTATCCAACATTTGCTGTCCTATTCGATCCTCCTTTTCTTTGTATTGTACTCCCTTAGTGACACATAACCTTTGGCCCTCATCTGACCTAATTGTGTTGCAAGTGCCATAAAACTATTACTATAATTGAAATATCTGTAGATTGATTCTTACAATTGTGAGTCTTACTTTGCGGGTGGTTAGAGGGTGCTATTGTTGGGTCCTATTTATCTCCCCTCCTTTTTTGTTTGTTACTCTCTTGTAACACCTAATCTTTGACACTTACATGACATTATGTTGCAAGTGCTGTAAAATGGTAACTGAAACAAAATTTAAGTGGATGGTTGTCGAGTGCTCTGGTTCGGTTTGCTCCTTCTTTCCAATAAAAAATCTATCTCCCCTCCTTCTTTTTGTGTTTGTTACTCTCTTGTAACACCTCTAATCTTCAGCACTTATCTGACCTTATTGTGTTGCAAGTGCCGTAAAACTCTTACTAATACTGAAAACAAAATTTATTCTTTATCTCTAATATGAACTTATTATTTCGCAAGTGCCGGAAAACTCTTTTCTATAATTAAATGTACTTAAACTTTGACTCAACTTGTGTGTGTGTGTGTGTGTGTCAGCTGTAAGCGAGGCCAGTTGTACTTGGAGTGGTCACCTGCCCCCCAGAAACCACAAGAACCCGGTCTACTCGCCCAAGGTCTTTCTGGGAGGCGTGCCCTGGGATATAACTGAATGTGAGTACAGTCAAAATTGTCTAAGACAGCCACACATTCTGCCGTAAGCATGACAAAATGCCTTTTTTTTCATTTTGGTGCTACGTTTTTTTATTTGCTAAATCAAAAGCCTGATTAGTTACCCAAACTAGTGTGAAAAAATGAATTCGAAACTGTTACTAGTTTTTGAATAAATTAGAATTCAAATTTCAGAATGACTATTTATTGTTCAATTGGTTACGCTGACAAAAAAAACTTTCTCGAAACTTTTTCAGAAGAGAGGAGGTGAAATGTGATGATAAAAATTTCTTTTTGAGGTAGCAAGGCAGCCATGCTTTCAGTAGAAAAAGGGGCAAAACACTGTCGCTGTGACTGTCATTTCTGACATGTTTAGTCTGGGTGTGTTTCAGCCACTGTGTGTGGGTGGCTGGTGGATGCTCAGGTGTGGTTTGCTCCTTCTTTCCTATCAAACATCTATTGTCCTTATTTGTCCTCCTTTTTTGTTTGTTAATCTCTTGTAATCTTCGGCACTTATATGACCTTATTGTGTTGCAAGTGCCGTAAAACTCTTACTATAACAAACACAATAAACTCTTACTTCAACTAAAAAAACATCCACCTTATTGATGATTGGGAAGATGCAATTTTTTAATCCCTACTTATTTACTCCCACATTGTTGTTTCTGTGTTGATAGTGCCGAAAAACACCTACTCAGTGGGTGGTTGACGTGTGCTCTGGTGTGGTCAGCTCCTTCTTTCCTGTAAAAAATCTATCGTCCTGATCTCTCCTTTTTTGTGCTTGTTACCCTATTGCAACGCCTAATCTTCGGCACTTGTATGACCTTATTGTGTTGCAAGTGGCGTAGAACTCTTACTAAAAAAAAATAAAACCAACGGGTGGCTGACGTGTGCTCTGGTGTGGTCTTGTTCCTTCTTTCCCCTCAATCATCTGTCGTCCTGATTTCTCCTTTTTTATATTTGTTACCCTCTTGTAACACATCTTACACAACACCTCTCTGCTGTTTATCCACAGCTGGTTTGCAGGCGGCATTCAGCAAGTACGGACATCTCAAGATTGAATGGCCAGGAAAAGATGGCAAGTTTTGCTTTCACTTCAGTTTCCACTTTCTGGCAAATGCTGGTCTCTGTGAACTAGTTTCTACTATGACTTTACCAACAGACATATGTGAGACAGCGTGGTGGAATCAGGCTCTCGTCAATTTTTGGGCATGTAGAGTTATTTGTATCATCTTAAAGCTTGTTCACTTGTCTTTATTTGGATGAAAAAAGTATCCTTTTATCTTGAATACAAGTCGAGATATTTGCAAAAGAAGGAGGTGGGAGTTACTTATTTTCAGAGGTAAAATTAGTGAGAAAATGGCTGCCAAAGATTAGTTATTTCCTTAGTAAAAGAGTCCTTGGTCACTGAAGATTTACATTTTTATGCCTTTAATCAACGCTTTTCTGAAAAATCCACACAGAAATGAGTTCTTTAAAGGGCATGAAAGGTGTTGAACCAAAACAACAAAAATTTGAAAGAAATTCATAAACCAACGGAAAAATGCAAGTTTCTTCATTTTGATTATTTTGACGAGAGCCTGATTCCACCACGCTGCCTCACATATACTAATAGAAATACTGGACTCTATAGAGGCCTGGAGGAAATATTTTGTTGAATGTACCAATTTAAAGAATACGTTCTCTATCTTTGATCCCATTAGATTTCTTGATTTTTATAATGACCTTTGGTCTTGGCTCCAAAATGTAAACAGTGCCTTTAAAAAAATGTGAATTGCTTCTTTTAGAACTGAATGTTACCATGTATTTTTAGAAATATGTCAACCTTTCTGACTTGCAAAGTAAAAACCAAAACATTCTTTGAACTAATATGACATTATGCAGATGCTAATGCCCTGCAAGTTTTACCAAACTAAACTGACAGAGATATGCAAAGGATCTGGTGTGGTGTGCCCGGACAATCTCAAACATTTCTCCCTGACCTATAAATGCCACTTGCAGAGACGGAAGCCTTTCTGTTGGATGCGGTACAGATTTTACCATTAGACACATACTAACAGAATGTCCCAACTTTGGACAAACCTAAGGAAATATTTTAAGTGTAGAAATTTGAAAGATTTGAGCAAGATTTGTTCTAGTGTTGTGAATGCAACCAACTTGAGCTTATGCAATTACCAGTGCAGTAAAACTCTTACTGAACTATGCAGAAGAAAAAATTGATGATTTTATTTCCTTTCGGTTTACCGCGGTCAGTTTTCAGATTAACTATGTTTAAGGGGACTCCTCTGTTCTGAAATATTAAAACTTTAACTCTTGTTCGTGGATGGTTGGCGGGTGCTCTGGTGTGGTTGGCTTCTTCTTTCCTATCAAACATCTATCGTCCTTATCTCCCCTTCTTCTTTTTTATGTTTGTTACTCTCTTGTAACACCTAATCTTCTGGCGCTCATTTGACCTTATGCAGTTGTGAGCGCCATAAAACCTCTACTAAAACTAAACTGAAATAATATTAAAACTTTAACTCTTGTTCCCTCATCCAGGCTACGTACACCTCCTGTTTGACGTGGAGAAGTCTGTGCGCTCTTTGCTGCAGGCTTGCACCCACGACTTCAGCAATGGGGATTATTTCTACAAAATTTCTTCCAGGAGGATGCGTTCTAAAGAGGTAAGATTATGACATTATGCAGTTGTAAGTGGTGTAAAAAACTTTTATCAAACAAGGAAAATGGGTACAAATGTAACTCATAAAACCATCCTTTGCCTACCTTTCATTCTCAAGGATTTGTTTTTAACAGGTAAAATATAACCCATGTCCTATCTTCCACCCTCTCACCTTCTGGAGAATATGTGAGACAGCTTGGTGAAATCGGGCGCTCGTCAAAATAATGAAATCAAAGAAATCTGCATTATTATGGCCTTAGGGCATTTTTTTTTCAAATGTAATTTTTTTGACTCAACACTTTTAATATTGATTAAAAACCCATTGAGCAGGCTTCAGCCGCCACCCGAGCAAAATTCAACATGTCCTACCTACTGAAAGTTTTTTGTCACACGCGCTCACATGTCCTTTTAATAGTTGCAAGCGCTGTAAAACACTTAAAAATAAAAAGTAAATTTTTTAAAGCACAAAAACCCACATTAATGTCTAGATTTTTACTAAAATATGTTGATCATAGCTTTGCAAGTCACCAAACTTTGGTGGCCAAATCTCGCTAATTTTACCTCTAAACTAGGTGACACCCACCTCCTTCAATTGTGAATACCGCGATATCTATTCAAGATAGATGGGTAATTTTTCTTTGAAAGCAAGATAAACAAGCTTAAAGATAAAACTAACTCCACATGCCAAAAAATTTTTTAGCGTCTGATTCCACTGTGTCGTGACACATTTTAGTGCCTGATGCCACCACCGTGTCAGGACTCATTTTAGCGCCTGATGCCACCACCATGTCGGGACTCATTTTAGCGCCTAATTCCAGCACCGCATGATGACTCATTTTAGCGTCTGATTCCACTGTGTCGTGACACATTTTAGTGCCTGATGCCACACCGTGTCGGGACTCATTTTGCGCCTGATGCCACGACCGTGTCGGGACTCATTTTAGCGCCTGATGCCACCACTGTGTCGGGACTCATTTTAGCGCCTAATTCCAGCACCGCATCATGACTCATTTTAGCGTCCCATTCCACCGTTTCGTGACACATTTTAGCGCCTGATTCCACCGCATCATGCCACATTTTAGTGCCTTTAGCGCCTGATGCCACTGCGTCGTGACTCATTTTAGCGCCTGATGCCACCGGTTTAGTGTCTATTGTTGATTTACAAGTTGTCCATGAAAAGTGGGTGACTGGTGGGTGCTCTGGTGTGGTTTGCTCCTTCTTTCCTGTTCATCTATGGGCCCTATCTTGCTTCCTTCTTTTTTGTGCGGGTGGTTGGAGGGTACCACTGATAGGTCCTACTTCTTTACTTTCCCTCTGTTGGTGTCTGTCTGTCTTACTTTTTCCCAGCACTTAATGACCATTATTGCGTCAATGCGCTTCTCTTTGTTCATACAAGGTGACCATTATGTGGGTGATTGGCAACTGCTCTTTTTTGTGTTTGTTACACCTAATTCTCAGCACTTACATGGCCAAATTGTATTGCAAGTACCATAAAACGCTTACCAAAATGAAACAATGACCATTATTGTATCTATTTGTTTCTCTTTACTAAAACTTCTTTTTTTTTTGTTTAATGCTCTTGTAATACCTCTAAACTTTGGCACTTATATAACTTAGTTGTGTTGCTAGTTCCATAAAATGGTTATTGCTCAAACAAAAGCAGGTGGGTAGTTGGCGGGTGCTCTGGTGTGGTTTGCTTCTTCTTTCCTATGAAACATCTATCATCCTTATCTCCCCTTCTTCTTTTTTATGCTTGTTACTCTCTTGTAACACCGCGAATCTTCTGGCGCTCATATGTCCTTATGCAGTTGTAAGCGCCATAAAACCTCTACTAATACTAACCAAAAACTAAAACAAAAGCAGGTTTTGTTTGAGCCACGGCCTTATAGTTTGACGTCAGTTGTAAATTACAATATGATTATCTCAGCAGAGCCTAATGCATTTTGTTTCGTGTCTTTGTTACACTTCTTAAGATTTTCTCAGGCCTTTCGTATCAAACATCTATCATCCTTATCTCCCCTTCTTTTTTATGTTTGTTACTCTCTTGTAACACCTCTAAATCTTCTGGCGCTCATATGACCTTATGCAGTTACGAGCGCTGTAAAACCTCGGCTAAAACTAAGAAAAAACCAACTGACCCATGGTTTGCTGTCGATTTTTGACCTGTAGGTTTTCTCCAGAACTTGTGGTGGGTTTTGATTTATGGGTTTTCTTAACGCCGCTCAGATATGGTTTGATGTCGGCTGTAGTTATTTCAGGTTTTCCTTGAACCAACACACAGTTCATGGTTGGTTTGGTGCCAGTTTTTGAGGTCTTGGTTGGTTTGGTGTTGGTTGTAGATACCTAGGTGTTGTGGATGGTTGGCGGGTGCTCTGGTGTGGTAATTGCTTCTTCTTTCCTATAAAACGTCTATTGTCTTTATCTCTCCTCCTTCTTTTTTATGTTTGTTACTCTCTTGTAACTCCTCTAATCTTCGGCGCTTATATGACCTTGTGGGTGGTTGGCGTGTGCTCTGGTGTGGTTTGCTTCTTCGTTCCTATGAAACAACTATCGTCTTCTCCTTTTTTTATGTTTTTATTCTATTGTAACACCTCTAATCTTCTGGCGCTCATATGACCTTCTTGTGTTGCAAGTGCCGTAAAACTTCTACTAAAACAAGAAAAAAACTTATATGACCTTATTGTGTTGCAAGTGCCATAAAACACTTACTAAAACTAATCCAAGGTGTTTCTCCGAACCACACGCAGGTGATTTGAGAACACCACTGCTGGTAGGTTCTACTTTTTGACTTTCTGTTTCTGTCTGTCTGTCTTACTTTTTCCAGCACTAAATCTGTTTGTATGGTTTGTTTTTGGTTAAATATCTGTAGTTGCTCCTTCTTTCCCATCAAACATCTTTCGCCCTGATCTCTCCTTCTGTGGGTGGTTGGCGGGTGCTCTGGTGTGGTTTGCTTCTTCTTTCCTGTCAAACATCTATCGTCCTCATCTCCCCTTCTTTTTTATGTTTGTTACTCTCTTGTAACACCTCTAATCTTATGGCGCTCATATGACCTTTTGTAGTTACGAGTGCCGTAAAACCTCTACTAAAATAAACAAACATCTATCGCCCTGATCTCTCCAGCTTTGTTTGTTACTCTCTTGTAACACCTATCTTTGGCACTTATATGGTCTTATTGTGTTGCAAGTGCTGTAAAGCTCTTATGAAAAAGAAAGAAAAAAAGATCTGTAGGTGTTCTCCCAGTCCCTACTGTATAGTTTGGTGTCGGTTGTAGATCGTCAGGAGCAGTTTTCGTGTTGTCCTGACGTGTACGAAATGTCTAGCAGGGTGGACCGAACTGTTTTGACAGTGCCATAAAACTTGCTCTCCAATTAAACATACACCTCCTCTCTCTCTCTTTGATGGTTCAGGGTTGATGGTTGGCGGGTGCTCTGGTGTGGTTTGCTCCTCCTTCTTTCCTATCAAACATCTGTTGTCTTTATCTCCCCTCCTTCTTTTTTATGTTTGTTAGTCTCTTGTAACACCTCTAATCTTTGCCACTTATATGACCTAATTTAATTGTGTTGCAAGTGGCGTAAAACTCTTACCAAAAAAAAAAAAGGTTCAGGCTGATGTCCCAAGAGCAGGTTGGTGGAATGCACAACTGTATTTTAGAGTTGTGGTTGTCTGGCTTGTTTTTATGCATTTCAGTCAACCTGCTGCTTTTGTCTTCAGTTCCAGCCTGGTGGACCAAATTGTGTTGGGTGTTGCCATAAAACGTATACTCAAATGAACAAGCACATCTCTCCCCTTGATGACCCAGGCAGATGCCCTAAGAACAGGCATGTGGAATGCACAAATGTATTTTGTGTTGTGGTACTGGCTGATATTTTGCTCTTCTGTCATACTGTTGCTTATATCTTCAGTTCCAGCCTGGTAGACCAAATTGTGTTGGATGTTGCCGAAAAACGTATGCTCAAATGGACAGAGGCATCCCCTCTTTGATGGACCAGGCAGGTGCCCCAAGAGCAGATTGGTGGCAAACACAGGTGTATTTTGAGTTGTGATACTTAAGAATCATTTGTGGTTGTACATCAAACTGTTGCTTTTGTCTTCAATGCAAGTCTGGAGGACCAAATTGTGTTGGATGTTGCCGTAAAACGTGTACACAGATGAACTGATACTCACCTTTTTGATGAACCAAACAGATGTTCGGAGAACAGGCATGTGGAATGCACAAAAGTATTTTGTGTTGTGGTACTGGCTGATATTTTGTGGTTCTCTTTCGAACTGCTGCTTTTATCTTCAATTCTAGCCTGGTGGTCTAAATTATGTTAAAGTTGCCGTAAAACTTGTACTCAAAATTGAACAGACACATCCTTTCTTGACCCGCGCAGATGTCCTAAGAGCAGATTGGTGGCAATCACAAGTATATTTTAAGTTGTCGTACTTAAAACAATATTTGTGAACGTCTGTCAAACTGTTGCTTATATCTTCAGTTCCAGCCTGATGGACCAAATTGTGTTGGATGTTGCCATAAAACGTATACTTAAATGAACACGCACATCTCTTCCCATGATGGACCAGGCAGATGTCCCAAGAACAGGCATGTGGAATGCACAAATGTATTTTTTGTTGTGGTACTGGCTATTTTGTGCTTCTCTGTCGAACGGTTGCTTTTATCTTCTGTTCCAGCCTGGTGGGCCAAATTGTGTCTTTACCCAGGCCGACACCCTCAGAGCAGATTGGTGGACAACACAAGTATATTTTGAGTTGTGGACTTGGAAATACACTTGTGTTTGTCTGTCGAACTGTTGCTTTTGTCTTCAGTGCAAGTGTGGTGGACCAAATTGTGTTGGATGTTGGTGTAAAACGTATGCTCAAATGAACAGATGCATCCCCTCTTTGATGGACTGAACAGATGTCCCGAGAACAGGCATGTTGAATGCACAAATGTATTCTGTGTTGTGATAGTCAGTGATATTTTGTGCTTCTCTGTCAAACTGCTGCTTGTGTCTTGAGTTCCAG